ATTTCTTGTATCATATTGTATGATCATTTGCATTATTTAACCATTTAAACAACTCTTTTAAAAGTAATGTTAATATTTATTGTTCGAGGCTAATAAGAGAGTGACAAATTAGCATTTAATAAATCAAGTTTACTATGAGCCCGTTTGATGACCCCCTTTTTCGGCTTATCAGCCAGCTTTTTCACCAAACACGTAATTTTTGATTTCGCGCGTTGAAGTTTGTAATAAGCAGAAAAAGTAAGGTTGGAGTTACTTTTCTGGTTGTTTTGGTTGGAGTTACTTTTCTGGTTGTTTTGGTTGAAGTTACTGTAGAGGATCAGTTTAGCTATTTTTCATATATTTTTTTATTTAATTTATTGATACCAAGTATTTTAAATATAATTTTTTCATAAATCAGTAGAATCAGCCAATACAGCCACTTCAGTCAGAACTTCATAAATTTCAGCAAAATCAGCCAATTCAACCAATTTTAGTGTTACCAAACGGGCTCTATATAAATAATAGAAATGATACCTATTTTACAATATACGAATTTCAATGTATTTATCAATTGTTTTTCAGGGTGAAATTATTCATTAATACTCCGTATCTTTTAGTTAGCCATGATGTAATTTTCATCACTTTGTAAGTTTGTAAACTGATAATAGGGGATCCGTAGTCCTTATTTATCCATTCCCTATTAGTTAGCCATGAAAAGTTCAAGTTATTTAATGTTACCTATTAATTAGACATTATTTTTTTCTCACCACTTTGTAATCTTAGATCATCTTCAATGCTAAAACGTTAACGGTGCATACGTGGCATAAGAAATAGTCAATGAAAAAACAATAAATAGAATACCTCTCTCCTTATTTGAAGGATCTTATATCATTTTGGTAAGTTTTTCTTCACAATGTCAAGCAGAATGTCTAGATGTAGACATTGTGGTTGACATTGCACGGAAAAACTTACCAAAAACACATAAGAACGTGGAAAGACGGAGAGAGAAATGTCATAAAATTAATATTTTGTGTCTATCTCTCTCATGCCACATGTGCACCGTGCACATTGTAGCATTGGAGATGCTCTAATAGTAGTCTTGAAAGTGATGTTATTGGTAACTTATACAGTTATGCCGTGGGATCAACCCACCATTAGCATGGTGTGTCGATCCCAAAACCACGTCGTTTTATTAATTAAAAGAGAGAGCATAGCGTGAGAGAACAAATAGCTGTCGCGGAAGAAGAAGCGTGAGCTCTGGCCTGGCTAGCTCTTCATCCCATGGTAGGAGATTCCGCTCGGTCGTCTTCTGCGTGGTGACGGCCACAGGGAGAGTTATGGCTGAAATACTGAAGGAGATGAAGCTATCTAGTACTGCGGCAGATGCGACTTCCCCTATCGTTTATCCTTTCGGAAGCCATAAACGTCTCGACAACTTCTTGGATGCTCTTACGGAGAGAACAAATAGTTGTTGCCGTTTTACACGTGTCCGGACCGATTAGAAAGCAACGGCTGAGAAAATATGGTCTCTCCCATCCCTTCTTCTGACTTTAGCAGCAGCTTCTGTCCTATGCTCCAGTATTGGAGAATTGATGATGGGTTGATTTTTTTTGAAATATTTGTTTGATGATGGTTAAAAACCGGTGATACTTTTCTTGGAAAAAAGTTAAACAATATTAGACAATTTACATTTTGATTGGGCTCAAATTACATTTGAAAATACATGCAGTTACATCAGAATTTGACTAAGGTTACATATCTTATACCTTGAGTTACATGTCAACTTTTCTTAACAACTTACACCTTGTTTACACGTGATTTACATTCACCATAAGGCAAGTTACATCACAAAATAGTGCGAGTTACACAACAAAAAAAGCTCTGCTATGTAAACAAAAATGTGTCTAATTAAAAATTATATTTATAGCTTTAGTATTAAAAATAAAACATATTTATCATTTATGTAAATTAATTGGGCAATTAGACCTTTTTTCATTGTTTACATTGAAATCAATGTTTTATTTCTTCTACTTTGTATTTTGGACAAATTACATTTGGACTGACCTACAGTTACATTGCTCATCAACCTGAGTTACATTTCAATGCACATAATTTACATCACAAAAAAAAAACACTTAACCAGAAACCATGGTTACTGTTCATCCGCGGTTTTTAAGTTAAAATTTCATACTCCCTTCGTCCCTATATAAAAGTATTCATTCGTTTTCCACACATTTTAAGAAAGTGGGTTTGGTTGGTACTGTTTGGCACTGTTTGGACACTGTTTTACACTGTTTTGCATTGTTTTGCACTGTTTTTTTTTTGCCAAAAAAGGAAAGAGAACTTTTATTTAGGGACGGCCCGAAAATGAAACAGATGCTTTTATTTAGGGACGGAGGAAGTATTAAATAACGTATATCTATTAATGGGAGTACCATGCTCACCGTGGGATGTTCCCACGGTATAACAACCGGGTGTTATTTAGTTTTTTTGTTAGCAATGAGAGGATGCCACATAAGCTATTAATAGCCCAGTTTTACTATATAAAATGATAGATGCTACTAAAAAAATCACATTATACATATAAATTAAATGAATAGCTTCTTTAATATATTGCTTATTACTCCCTCCGTTCCTAAATAAACTTCCAACTTTCTTTTTTCATCCGTTCCAATTAAATTTCCACTTTCCCTTTTTGGTAAAGAATTTGTGGTTCACAACATTTCTTATACATTTCTCTCTTCTCTGCACAACTCTCCACCACACAATACCCACTTTTCTTAAACTGTGTGCCAAAGTGGGTTGGAAGATAAAATAGGAACGGATGTAGTATAATTTTATATTGATTAAAATTACATCATGAACCGTGTAAGTCAATTTTTCTGGATCGCTTGGTGGAAATAAGTCATCCCGTTTTTGTTTTGCTACATTAACGGGCATGTGACATTTAGAGAACTTTTGTTAACGTAAATTCTGAGAACCACTTGTGCTCTTAGGCTTACCGCAACCCGGAGGTGAAAAAACATTTTTGAACTTTTCACCCTCAAAAACTTCTCCAACCCATTGTATAAGGAGGTCTCAAAGTGGATACATGGCTTCTCATGAGTGGGAATTAGCTTCTTGATCGACTCCGGTGTCTTGGATTAAAGAAAAAGGATGGGTCTCAAATATAAATCCCAATTATCTTTAAACTATCATAACTTTTTTATCTGTAATCCGATTTGTATAAAAAAATATATCAAAATTCATATCTTTTTATAATCTTTCATATGACGCCAGTATTGGATATGTAACTATAAAAAAAATGAGAAGTTTCATCTGATGGAGATTTGTAGATCTAACATTTTCTCAAATCAATTCAAATGTTAAAATCAAGATTTCATTGTTATTTTTTTTTTACATCTCTCAATTATTATTTTTCAAAAATAGATCTCATGGCTAAAAATTTCACTCCAAATTTATTTATTTTTACATCGGAATGTTTGATATTTTAAATCATAATTTTTTGCAAAAATAGAATTTGCGAAAAAAATTATGTATAATAATAAAAGTAAGAATTTAACTAAAAAAGAATAGGTTGAGTGAATATATTGACAGTGCTGGATTGCAGAGAAAAACTGAATTGACTGAGTGAATACATATAAACTGATGTTAGATTAGATTTATTGACGGGTTGAGTTGCGGTTAGCCACTTAGCCTTATCATGACAAATTTTGAGGACACTCACACTTATTGGACATTGAATTTTTTGATATAATATTTTCCTAATATTAATAGACATGTGAAAAGTACTCCGTATGTGACTATAATATACTCCGTACTTGCATACTTTTTTCAATTTATGTAAATGTAGTACGGAGTATAATATTAATAGACATGTAGTATAATATACTTGTGTGTAAATGTAGTATTTGTTTTTATGGAGAAATGTGTAAATATAGTACTACCTCCGTTCGTAAAAATTCTTCCCGGTTTGACTTGACACGCTGATTAAGAAAGTGGAATAAAGTGGAAATGTATGATTGTAGTTGTGTAAGAAAAGGGTAAAATGAATGTGAACCACACAAATTATCCAAAACGGGAAAGTGGAAAGTATTTTTGGGAACGGTCCAAAAAGGAAAGTGGGAAGTATTTTTGGGAACAGAAGGAGTATTGTTTATTGATACAAAATTATGTGTTTGATGTAAATGATTTTAAAAAATGTAAACTACATGAACTAAAAATATAAAATACAACTGGAACGAGGGTTGCAAATCTGTTAAATATAAATATAAATTTATGTTTTAGACTAAGAAAACTTTATTCGTGAATTGACATAGAAAAAATAAACAAATTGATTCATGAGTTAACTTGAAGATGATGAATCATGAATACCAAAATTGTTGCTAGATTCTTCTTAATTTGATAATGAAGAAGAATGCAGAAATTGAAGAAGAAAAGAAAAAACAGAGTTGAAATCAATGGGAAAATGACATGTGCCGAGATGCATGTGACTTACCAAGGCATCCCGATCCCACCGTATAACTTGCCTTATGCAATTTTAAAATGTTCACAAAGGCAGAAGAATCTCAAACCAACCCAACCTATATTTGACCTGAAAAACAGTACTCGTTTATTGACTATTTATTTCGGTTAAATGGGGATTATAGTTCGGGTGGATCCAAATGAAGACATATTTATGTGTAATCAGTCTAGGGTGACCATAGACCAGTGTGTTTAAACACATAAACTCAGTATAAGCTACATATTCATTATATTGTGGTTTTTCAAAATTTTCTTGAAAATCCTTCTTTTCTAGGTAAGGTCAGATTGCTTGATACGTCCAAAAAGGTTGAATCCCCAACCCCAAGGGCCCCCCACCCCGACCTGACAGGATGGTGGGGGAGTAAATCACGGTGACTCAGTCAGCAAAGCGGCAGTAGGCCTTTAACTGTGCGCACTAGAGGGTCAGCCTTATTTCAGGTTCTGAAAACCCCCTTTTGACCGCTGCGGGATTCGAACCTTGGTCTACGTACATGAGATTGCTTGATAGGATACACCCAGAACTGCTTAAAAATTCATGCACAAAAACCCATCATTCTACTCTTACAGAAAGATTATTAGCAACCAAAACTCAATGAAACGTCAAAGTAGTTCACATTCTGCAACTTGTTCACATAAACTTATATTATTAGCAACCAAAAAATATAACTATATGTATGGTAAGAAAGCTTCAATTGCGCCATATTATAAGCATGAGATAAGAATCCAGGCATTGGAAAGCTTCAACAAAGCTTTGGTCATCATCATCAATGATCTCCATCTTCTTCACAGATCTTAGAATACTGGTCTGGATCCATCAAGTATCCTGGTTTACTGGGGCCGTCTATCTCCACTTTAATGATCCACCCATCTTCATATGGACTCCCATTAACCTGAATCCCATTTGACAAGAATTATTGATTGATTGCTAAACACGCACACATAGGTTTTGCTTCAAATAAAAAGATTCATTCCCATGGCATATGAGAATGAATTCGGTGCATTAGATATGAGATCTAACAGATTCAATTATACCAATAATGCATTAGATTAAATAAATACAGTGGCAGCAAATTGGCAAATAAACCAAAACTTACTGTCACTGTGAAAAAGTGCAACACACCAATTTAATAGAGCATCAAAGGGTGTAATAAAAAGTCCAAATGCTCACATTTTCCACGAGAAGCCTTCTTTTTATTATAACTGCACCCTATAGAAGTAAAGAACCCCTCTTAAAATGAGTTTGCTTTTATAAATGAAAACATTTAATCTTCGCCATTCCGTCCATTCGTTTTTCTAATTAATGGCAAAAATTAACAAGGTGACATTTTTGTAATTCTTTTAGAATACTTGCAAAGAGCCCCATTTGAATTTAAAATCTTTGCTTATATAATAAATGACAACAGTAGTTAGCCTAGTACTTTTTCTGTCCAAACTGTCTTGGAATCTACCGGAAATTTCAAAAATTAATGGGCTTTCACAAACCGCTTTAGACAGTCACGCTGCTTCCCAGAATGATGAACATTTATATTCGCCAGAAGCTGTGAACAAATACACAATTTGTTTGGAGAAGCCATCATTTTAATCTGCTAAAATAGTACAATTACTTATGCGCACAAGGTATTCCTTTTTCACAATTCTTTACAATTTTCATTTTATTCTTGTACAACAGTTAGGATGCTTTGTGAATCTGGAAGACTCACCTCTGTGAGCCAAAACAATCTCTTACTATACTCAAGTTGTTTTTCCCAATGTTGTTTTCATGTGCTTCAATGTCACTTCTGCCATGCATACTGCTTTCCAAATGATGTTTCAAGTCGATTAAAAACTCTTAAGAGTCAGACAAACTTAGCGCCTGCAAAGTGCTCGACAAAAATCCTCTTCCATAGTACATGTCTTAAGTCCCCGATATTTATGAGATCAACATATGTAATGAATACTTCATTGTCTTTTGCTCCAAGATTTATCTTATGTTCTCACTTCTATTTGTTTCACAACAAATATCAAGCACTTTTTCAAAGTGATGCTCATTACAATGAAATTTTAAACGTAAAAAGAAAAAAAATGTAAAGTTACGAAATGGTTACACCATCCCAACAATGTCCATCATTCCATGTACTTTTATCATTTTTTAAACCATTAATGTTACAAAGTTAATACTTTTCCTATTATAAAACTTCTCTGGAGTTATTTCCCATATTTAATTGAATAATGGTTTAGACCATTAAGAAAATATCAACGTCTATGTATTTGGTAATTTTTTTAACTCACATGTACAGATTGCAACTCTGACAACATTGTCAAAATCTATTTAATTTAAAGTTTATTTTGGAATCTTATAAGTTTAACAAACACCACAACCTGGGTTCTGGTATCAAGCATTTAGTTTGTGGCGAGTCCATGGTTTACATATGTTTCTATTTTTTAAATTCTCACATATACTTGAATGAACCCACAAATTGCTAAATATGCACCTTAAATTGACTGGCGATGTGTGCACTACGGGCGAAGGGTGCCCAACATAGTTATTTAAAAATGTAATTACAAAAAAGTAATATTTCAAAAGTGAAGTATTCAAATAATATATGAATACTAACTTTTTCAAATTTCAAAGTTAGAATCTGTTGACGTTTTGTGTGAAGAATATGTGGGAGATTTTTTTGTAATATTAACAATAGAATGTAAGCTTTTTCCATCATTTGCAATGGAGCCAAAGATTCATTATTTTTTGGCTTAAGATTATGATGGAATAAAGCAAAATGGCTCACTAAACTGTCTGCGCTTCTTTTTTATGCAGCAGCAGTCAGTCCATGCAATTTTGGACGCGATTTTCACTATGGGTCATCCGGAAACAGTCTCTTTGTGCTTTAGTACAAGGGTAAGACTGCGTACATCCGACCCCCCCTTACCCCACCGTGGGTGGGAGCCTTTGCGGCACTGGGGTAAATGAAAATGAATGATTAACAATAGAATGTAATCCTATAGTACTCCTCTACTACAATGTTAGATTCATTGTTAGTGTATTTTTAATTTGAAAAATAAATGGATCTGCCAATTGTAAATTAATGCAACTGCAAAGTCTTCATAAGCTTTTTGCAACAGTGTTTGTTTTCTTGATATTCCAGATGATATTCCAGACACCAAGGACTTGTCGGGGAAAAATTCTTATTTGTGTGAAGATTTCTGTGAGGTTGGAATCTAAAGTAGCCTTGATAAAAACAAACAATTTTCATAACCTAACTTGGAAATTTTATGGAGAAATTGTAGGATTACATACATGGTTAAATAGTTTTTACTTACAATGAAATTTCATGTAAAGTTTTGTTTGTGGTTTTAAACTCCATTCGGCTACACGTATTTTTGCAACTTTGACTGAAATATTTGCTTAACTTTTGCCTTTATTTTTGTTATATTATGATATTTTGGCTGAAAAAAGGGAACATGAAAAAAGGGAACATGTATGCTTTATTATGATATTTTGGCTGAAAAAAGTCCAATTTCTTTCACTTGTACTTCTCCTTAGTGTATTTTCTTTAGGGAGAATTTGACTTTGCACCCCATGTTTTGGTTGATATTTGACTTTGCACCCTGTTTTTAAAATCATTAATGTATGCACCCCATCAACCAAAAAATTGTGAAGGAGTGGGGTGCAATGTCAAATGATTTTATTGTAAATTGGGGTGCATACATTAATGATTTTGAAAATAGGGTGCAAACTCAAATATCACCTAAAACATGGGGTGCAAAGTCAAATTCTCCCTTTTCTTTATGCGCCAAGAGCATTACAGGAAAGCGTATCTCCAAATAAACTAACAAAAGAATACAATGGTTACAATAAATTTCCAAATTTGAAAAGTATTGGTTTAGACCATCCAGAAAAGTTCAACGTCTCTATATTTAGTTTAACTCACATCAGTTGCCCCCGCTTCAAGATTTATTGTCAATTTAATTCAATTAATAGTTTATTTTGAAATCTTAGAACAAAAAAAGTGCTTAAGAATATGTATAGACGTATAGTCATTTTCACTATTGTTAGACTTCGAAAGTAAATAATATAAGAAAAAATTGCCTTCACAAAATCCGCTTCTATGCATTTTTACCACTTTGCACAACTTAGCAGACATTAGAGCCTATGTTCTGATAGCAAGCATAAAGCATTTAATTTGCAAAATTTACGACAACAGTCTACAATTTACATACATTTCTTGTTATGAAAAATATTGTACCACGTATTTTAAAGCTCCTTTTGATTCCATTTTGTATCATTTCATTGAGACGCCTTCAAAAATGAAAAAACCTAAATGAACCACACTAAAATTGGTCTGGTCTAGAACTGAAATCAGTCCCAGTATAAACATCGATCCTAATCCTTCAATGATACTGGTTCATACTTATTATTATGGTTGGTTTTTGTTGTATGTGAAGAATATTGATTGTCCTATCAAAATTATTAAGTTCCTCTATCATTGTGTTGTTCCCATGACTACTATTATTCTACAAAAAATTACCATGTACTAATACATTTATGAAGTTCCAAATAATTTACATATCATCATCCACCTCCCACTTTACTATTTAACTTTCATTGGAATATTTCAAATATTTATTATAATAATCTATGCTTCAATTTCTTTTCTTGCACTTACAAAGAATTGTTAAAAAACTTGTAGGCAAACACATTTCTATTTTTACCAATGCATAGTGAGCCGAATTCTTTATTTAATATCAATTAATTTGAATATATTTATACAAATACTGCATAATTGTATTGCTCTAACTAAATAAACATATGTTCTAATTCATTAATAGTGTGCATTGGGAACAAGTCGCACATAGTGCGTATACCGCTAATAGTTAAATAAGAAGACCCTTCATGTGTGCTAGACATTGAAAATAATGAAAGGTTGAGATTAAAGTATTAAACGTTCTCATAATAATAAGGTTGAGGTTTACATACATACATATATGTGCGCGCGCATGTATGTGTGTTTGTATATAACTATAAGCTAAGAAAAACATACCAGACCAGGCGATTCAGTTAGTTTCTCATTAACTTCAACCACTTTTCCAGAAACGGGAGAATAGATATCACTGGTGGCTTTAACACTCTCAACTGCACCAAAACTCTCACCCTGTTTCACATCACTACCAACTTCGGGTAACTCAACGTACACAACATCACCCAGATGCTCCTGAGCATGATCAGTAATGCCTATAGTGGCAGAACTTCCATTAACTTTAACCCATTCATGACTTTCTGCATACTCCAAACCCTTGACCACTGAAACAAACAATAAAAAGAAAATTATCATTAATTTAAAAATTTATTACATTGTCATATCTCAAAAGGATACTGTTTCGTATCTTCCCCATCTTTTGGGGATTCGTAGTGTTCATACATTGTTGCCAAACTATTTACCCATAGACGGTTTTCTTTCGAATGTGTACAAATCATAAGTATGCTAATTGAATGGGGGAAAGTTTAACAGAAAAAAATAAAATATTGCTGATAATTACACCAAAATCTAATGATATCATATAACATGGACACCAAATGACACAAATTAGAAGTTAGTATAGACACTAGAATTGGAAATAAAATATATCATAAAAACAACGTGGAGAATAAAAGTTAGAAAACAGAAAGATAGTACACAATATTACCACTGTCCATCACTATTAGTATTTAGACATCGCACCAACATTAAAAAGATGCCTCTTTATTGAAACAGAGTATCTCTTACCAAGCTTTCAAAATTTAAGTTAGATTAGTTATATATGAAACAGACTACAGAGTGACATTTTTAAATAATATTATGATTTGGGAACACAGAGGTCCATCAAAAAAATCTTGCCAAGCTTTCACAACTGCATTAGATTATTTAAACTCTGTGTTCGTAAGTCACAGCTTTAAGAAAACAACACTCATAACTAATTAAAACATACCACTTTTTAAGATTTTCTTTCTTATACTATCTCACTAGGGAAGGCTGCAGGGTCTCCAGGATTATCAATGTTCCCATTTCAGACCCCAACTCCAGCTCCAGTTCACATGTCAGGGCAATTAATGTTGGATATAAATTACAATGGGAAAAAAATTGGATTTATAAACAAAAGGTTACTCATGTTTCTGGAGAAAAGGAAAACTAGTCATTTTATTATATGGGGGGTTCTACGGTGCACCCGTTAATTTGATTGTACCGTATGCGGATCAATAATATTGTACCACATGGAAAATAATTAACATATATATGAATTTTAAGTCCATGTGTCATTGTTTTATTTGCCTATGTAAGAAAATGTACCGTACCTGCAAAATTTAGAGATGCACCGTAGAATTTTCCTTATTATATTTCACAAAGCTATAGGTAATATTTATGTCCTTTTTCCTAGAATCAAAATATTACGGTACAAAAGAATAGTGAAATGAAATTGCAAAATCATCACTATTGTAGGATATTTACACTTTTTCAGTGAGAATATTAGACGTTGTAGGATATTTACACTTACATACAAATCCACCTAAAAAAACATATGACACATCAAGCACATTACTAGATATTTTAAGCATCTTCACGTTTTCAGTTACTTATTAAATAAAGACAAAATTCCATAAATGGGACCAACGCGTAACACATTTCCTTAAAAAGACCACGTTGTTTTTCCAAAAGTATGACCCATTCATTTTAAAAAGAATAAGATTTAACTGCATTTATTTTTTTATTGGGAGTACGTCAGTCCTATTTTGGGAAAACACATAATTAGTCGTATTTGTGAACTTGGTCCATGTTGAACTCCCATTGCGGGCAATTTATTTAAAATAAGGAATTTTATCAATCCAGGACCTGAAAGATAGACAAACTATCAATTCGGGGCCTGAAAGATGAAATGTATCGGTATAAGACCCGAATGATGGAAAACTATCAATCTAGAACCTGAATGATCGAAAACTATCAATTTAGGACCTATGTTTTCATAAATTTTATTATTATTTTTATTTTAAAAAATTTAAATAATATTTAGTTTTATTAAACTAATAAACTTTTGTGAACAAAATTTCACCAAATACTAGCAATAGAATTAAAAAAAAAATTAAATAAATCAAAACCTATGAAATGTTAGGTTCTAGATTGATAGTTTTTCATCTTTCGAGTCCTATACTGATACTTTTAACTTTCAGCTCGCGAGTTGATAATTCATCTATCTTTCAGATCCCAAATTGATAAAATTCCTTAAAATAACAATAATTAGAACTTGTAATTCCTTATCTTGGGTCCATATATCAATACAATGCACACTTATCCACGTAATTAAATTTAATATACTAAAATCAATCAAGACACTAATGATCAAAGTGATATATGAGTAGACAGAAAGTAAGCTCATGAAAACGGTAAAAATGGCAAACAAGCATAACCAGATGAGATTAGAAAGTGTTTTGCTAAAGAAAAACAGCAATGAAGGCGTCAAATAAACTTTAACTTGTTCAGTAACAGGTAATTTTCCATTTTCCAGGACATATAGGAAGCATAATTTCTGTTCAAATTAACATTTTCCCAAACAAGCGGCATGCTTTTGTTATATCAATTTATCTTTGGCGTATACTTAAGCACATCCCATGTCCAAAAATCAGATCTTTGTTAAAGAAAAAACAGATCAAGCAATTTCAAATTATCCAACCACATCAATAAGATTTACCCATCTCAGTAAAACTCGAGAAAAGTCTGAAGAATACCGCCCAAAACACATTAACACGAATAGAGAAAAAAGAACCTTTACCGGTAGCAAATCCTCGGGGGAAAGCTGAGATCCTGAGGTAAGTGGCAGCGGTGGATGCCCAAAGCCGCATAGCCATTTTAGTCACACACTAACGCTTTGGATATACACACAAATGGACACTATTTTCCAGTGGAGAGCTTAAAGGTGGAAAAGAGCTTAAGTGTGAGTGGCCGCCGTTTGAAGGCGGTCTGAGATGGAAATGCTTCGGAGGGGCTGCGAGAGAATTGTTGGGATGATTGTTTGATACGGATTACGGAGTATTGAATTAGGGTGGGTGACCGGGTGTTATACTGTTATACGGAGTACGGACTAATTCAATGCTTTATAGGGAATATTTTGGGGGTGTTTGGATCCGATTCTTAAAACTTCTTCTGCTCCTTCAGGGAGCAGAAGCAAAAGTTGAAGTGTTTGGGTGAAAATGCAGAAGTGATTCTGGTGCTCTAATTTACTCCTGGAATCAGTTTTTTTAGAAGCTGTGGGGGTACCAGCTTCTGAAAACTGATTCTGATTCTGCTTCTGCTTTAAAAAAGAAGCAGAATCAGTTCCAAACACCCCTTTGTTGTGCAAAGAGACACTCACACGGCCTTTTTACTTATTTTTCAGAATTTTTTTTGAAAACTAGAAAACTAGAAAAAGGAGAAATGAAAATATCTATTTTAGTAATCAAGAAATTTTGAACTTCTTATTAGCAGTCGACTTTTCAATTTGGATATTCTTTTGACTAGTTCAATGGTTCTCTCTTCTCTCTATAGAGAGGAACCATATCGATCGTCTCCCCACTTTGTAAGGTCAGATTTTCCGTTGTCCCTATCAATATGAGGTTGAAGCGGCAGATTATAGTGATTTTAATTGTTCCAACGCTTGGGATTGCAACTATATTAGAGGAGATAACGTTGGCGGATGAATGACGTGCAGCCAAGAGGTTGTATCGAGGTGGGATCGTGAAACCTTGGTCGACCATTGTGACGGTGGTGGAGTTGGTATTCACTCATATTGTAAGAGCTCATCTCTAACACTGTCCCCAAGTGTATTTACTTTTTAGTAACTAATGTAATAAAACTTGAAGGATGATTTATGAATTTACGTGATTGTAAATTTTTGTTAGTTCTTTTGTGTGAATAGTAAATTGCACACGGGGCCCACACCGGGAACAGGACCATTCGATATTTTCGAGACCTCATATTATACTCATCTTGGTCTAGATAATATGTATCTGGTGGTGGATATCCTAGTTGGGCCGTAGCAAAGGCATAGGGTTGACCGGTTGGTCAAACGAGGCCCAATTATGAGTATCAGCAATTTATTATATAACAGTCTGAAAATGAATTTCGAGGACTTCTAAATTAAAGTTGGGAAAAGTATATTCATTGTAAGGTCCAATAAGGATTGAGAACATGCGTTATATTTTATTTGACCCGATAAAATAAAATATAATTAAAACAGTCCAAAAAATACAACTTTCGGGACCGAGTGTACACATCGAGACACAAAAGGGGTGACCTCCCACATGTGTGGGGGCCAACCCACGATTTTAGCCTTAAAATTGGCTAGGAGAGACGCACAATAAGAGGGGAAAGGGAGCAGAATCTGATTGGAAGCCAAAAACAATAAAATACATGGGATCCTCCCATGTTATTATTGAGAGAAATGCCAAAAAAACATTCTCAATCACCCCAGTTCATACACTTCGACCAAACCTTCATTCTTGGTGAGAGGAGCTTTGAAAATACTCTATTTCAATCACCATTTACGCACAAAAACAAAGGAGGAAGAAGAGAGCAAAGTTGAGGAGAAAAGAGAAGATTAAGAAGGGAAAGTATAGGCAATCAAGGTATTGATTTTATTAATCCCATTTCTTTTCTCTAATCCTTCCACATGATTAACTGAATCATGTTATAGACCCCTATTCTTGTTCTTCACCTTTAGAGGTGTAGAATGAGGGGTTGGAAGGTTGGTTCCTATCCAAAACGGATTTAGAGAACAAAGTTGACCGGTTCGTTGGAAAATAACCTTTTAGAGGTTATTTGTGTTAATATGGGTTTTATGATAATGAAACCTTATTAGGAACTTTCATAAGGTACTCCTAGAGCTTTCACGGAGTTGAAAGGGTCGTCGGAGTTATCGCCGGAGTTTCACAAAAGTCGTCGGAGCTTCGTCGGAGTTCAACCAAGGAGGGTGTAACTTCATAAGCTTCATTTAATGTGAGAAGACGGATTTATGCTTTATAACTTTTGCGTGAGGCATGCGATTACCTAAATTAATTAAGAATATGTTTTCTGGAATGATTAATGATAATCAAGTGTGTGTTATGCCATGTTATATGAACAATACAGTTGAAAAGCATGTTATGGAGGATTGATTAGTAAAAATGTGATAATTTATTATGTGTGATGTTACAAGGATCCAAAAGGATATTTTTGGATTGAGGACGTCGAGAAGTGCATGTGTATAAAATTTCACGTAAATCGGACTTCATTTGGGTGGTCAAACGGGCGTTGACCGCCAAGTCAAAGGCAATACCTGACCGGGTATGGGTAAATACCCGACCGGATATTAATTAAAAATGGCTCCAGGAGCCACTGCCTCACCATACCCGACCGGATATGGTTGGATACCCGACCAAGTATTGGGTTATACCCAAAATGGCAGTTTTGAGTGGGTTAATGTGGGTCGTTCGGGTGGGACCCGTCCACGTTGGTTACCAAGGATTGTTATATGACTATAGGGCTAGGTATTGTCCATAGTTGAAGGAATGAAATGATAGCCATATCCAGGTTAGGATTTGGTAGGAATAAGGTTGGGGGTAGGGTACCCTTGGACGGTAAATGATCCTAAATACTCCAGGTTGGGGCTGAGTACCCTTGGGCGGTAAATGATCCAGAATACTCCAGGTTGGGGTTGAGTACCCTTGGGAGGTAAATGATCCAGAATACTCCATGTTGGGGTTTAGTACCCTTGGGCGGTAAATGATCCAGAATACTCCAGATTGGGGTTGAGAACCCTTGGACGGTAAATGATCCTAAAACACTCAGTAGTATATCACGAATGTAGAATGTAGCTTGTAAGCTAGGTATTCGGGTCAAGGATGAGAAATGTTCGGGTGAGGACTTTATCTCTAAAATATTCTTTAAAGGTAAATGACCTACAAGTTAAGTATTTTACAAATATATATACGGTATGTATCATCGGGTGGATGCGTTACAACTATATATATGTGTCACCCTATTTTTGGGTCTCGTGTCTGAAACATTAGTTATTCCTCATATAGCCTACTTGTCAGTAGTACTTCTTTCTGTGAACTACTGACCCCTCCGGGAGCCTCACTATTTTCAGGTTAGGGCTAGAGTCTTGCTACCTACACCTTTGCATAGAGTGATTGTCAAATAAGGAAGACGTGGTTCGTGCTTCCCATTTTGATTCAAACTTATAATTATGCTCATGCATATTTTCAACAATGTTTTCTATTAAAACATTTGGGGGCTTGCGTGCTCGTGTTTGCCACATGTGGCTAAATATCAAACATACTATTTCCGCATTTGTTTGATTATGATATTGATGTTGATTGTATGTGTTTACTAATTGGTTTGGCAATAGAACCTATCGGGCACCTTGTATAGTTTAATAGGGATGAACAGTTGTTATCTTTATTGGATTGTACGGCGGTTGTCTATGTGGCACGGATGTAGTCCAGGGTGTGACAATTAAATGGTATCAGAGCCATCTATTTCTAAACTATATAATTAACCTCTCAATATTTTATCATCGAAAAGTTTTGAACAAAACAATGAGCAAAAAGTTTTTTTTTGTACCTAAGGAACCGTTGGAAACCAAATTATTGACCTCTTATTGTTAAGACGGTACCCTTAACAATTTGTCTGCCATAATGTTGGACCAAGTGGTGTCTTTTGTACTATTTCGTCAATTGACATTGAAACGAGTCTAATGGTTCATTCCTGATTTCTTTCAGAAATGGAGGGTGGACGCATGATAACTAGGAGGAACCTGATAGGTAGTGTACCGGGGGCCATCGGGCACGACACTCAGGCGGAATCACGGAGCTCTAGGGGTAGAGGCCGGGGCCAAGGTTGAGGAGGAGGTCGAGGTAGGGGTCGTGGGCATTCTACAACGCCGACGGCAAGTGGTACACGTGTCAGTTCTGTGCATCCGTCTTGGGCCACTGAACCGGACGATTTCACCTATGCTCCAAGCACGAAGCAAGAGGAGACCTCGTACAACGGGGAGGAATTTGATGAAGAAGATGAGGATGATGATCCTCATTATGACCGTATGAGTGAGGTACTGGAATGGTACCTTGAGAACAAAGCAAAGAGGGAACATCAGCGTCAAGCTAGACATGCTAGGCAAACAATGGGGCAGGGAAGTCGGGGTGCTTCTAGTGCTCCATCGAGCGCATTCGGGGGAGACACGATGGTGCATATCTCCAAGTAACTCAAGGAGGCTAGGTCTTGGGGTAAAAATCATTTGATGGTAGGGGTGACATATCTGAGACTGTCGACTGGATTAAGAAGCTGAATGACGCTTTTAGGGATATTGATGAAACGGTTAGCAACACAAGAGGGGGGTGAATTGTGTTTGTGTGGAACCGTGGAAGTTTCTTGCACAGTTCTAGTGTGGATGTAGGGAAATGAGAAATAGTAAGTACACAAGGATTTAACGAGGAAAAATCCCTTGGCTCACAGGGATTAAAAAACCTCGACCTCCCTCGGAGGAATTTTGAACAACTTCACTAAATAACCTTTTTTTGGTTACACGGTAAATTCTCTTAATCTACCCTTGAGCCACCCCAACTCTATCCTCTCTAGGAGGAGTTATGCTTCTCTACCTTGCAGGTAGAGAGCCTCTCACCTTTACAACAAATCTCTCACACACACGATCCCAAACCGAGGATGCTACTCTTAGTTTTTCCTCGAAACCAAGTTACAAGATAAAGAAGGGAAAAGAAACTGTATCTAGAACTTCGTGTGTAGGTTCAGGTGCCTTTAACTTGATAACTCTCTGCAAGTTATTCTCCTTTTTTATCACTCTATCAAGCACACCATTCTTCTATTGATCTTCGGCATATATAGTTGTCTTGGAGTAGTCTGTTGGGCAGCCTTCCATAAATAATTGATCTTAAAACTTGTGGTCTTGCCTTGATACTTTTGAATCACTTTCCTTCTATTTTGAGCACCATAACTCTCGGATATTATCATCATTAATATCAGTCCATATAAAAAGATATACTAGCATGGATCACATATATTATAATCGAGCAGCCACCTTTTATTAAAATAGTT